ATTTTAGTGGTGGTGGACAGATTGAAGTATGCTTATTTCATCCCCCTCCGACACCCTTACACCACGGTGTCAGTGGCTTCAGCTTTCATCAGAGAGGTGGTTAGATTGCATGGAGTACCACAGGAGATTATCAGATGGAGATAAGGTGTTTCTCAGCCACTTTTGGAGGGAGTTGTTCAAATTACATGGGACAGTTCTGAAGAGGAGCACAGCTTACCACCCATAGACGAATGACCAAACGAAAGTAGTCAATAGGAGCTTGGAGGTTTATCTGAGATGCTTTATATCGGAGACACCCAAGCTATGGGCCAAGTGGCTATCATGAGCTGAGTACCGGTATAACACATCTTTTTATTCTGCTTCGCAGATGACCCCATTCAAGTTGTTGTACGGACATGATCCTCCCCATTTGCTGCACTTTGAGAGTAGCAGTACTCCAGTTTTTTCAGTAGGGGAGTACTTGGAGGAGAGGGATAGAATGCTAGAGGAGTTGAAGAGGCATCTACTGAGAGCTTAACATATTATGAAGAGACAAGTTGATGGGCATAGGAAGGACATCCAGTTTGGAGTGGGGAGAGGGTGTTCTTGAAGCTTTAGCTTGGGCTGATTGGATCTATTTTGAGCTTTCTCATTTTTGGGCAACTTTTTTGTGCCGCTTTAGAATGTTTCTAGGTCTTAATGTTTTTGGCGTAGATGGGGATCTTCGGCCCTTAGGTTTTTATTTCTTTTTGAGTGTTTGTAGCTCTTTGAGCATTAGCGGGCTGAAAATCTCCTTAAGGACTTGTAATTTTGACTTTAATCGACGCGTAGGCCCTTCCGTGGGTTTAACTTTAAAAAAAAAAAATCTAGATTCAACACTTTCAATGCTATGTTATTCTCCTTTTGCTTCTCACCTTCATCAATATGCCTTTGAGTCACTCATTGCTCGTAAGTAATTAGTGATCCAAAAAGATTGTTAATTGAATAAACATTTAAATCATTAAACTCTATAATAATAGTTATTTTTGCATCATAAGCAGCAACAACAACAACAACAACAGCATCAAGTCTTTATCCCACTATGTGGGGTCGGCTACATGAATCCTTTTTCTCCATTGTGTTCTATTAAAAGTCAAATTCTTGTTTAAATCTAATAAAGAAAGGTCATTCCTAATATTTTCTAACCAAGTCTTTTTAGGTCTACCCCTACCTTTCTTAATATAAGTCAAATCTAATACCTCTACTCTCCTAACCGGGTCATCGAAAGGCCGTCGTTTTATGTGGCCAAACCATCTAAGGCGACTCTCTCTAATCTTATCTTCTATTGGAGCTACTCCAACCTTTTCACGTATATGCTCATTTCGTATCTTATCTCTAAGGGTAAAGCCACTCATCCACCTGAGCATCCTCATCTCTGTCACACTTAACTTAGTATTATGCTTCTCTTTTAATGGCCAACATTCGGCACCATAAAGCATTGCAGGCCTCACTACCATCTTATAGAATTTTCCCTTAAGTTTGAGGGGTACATTTCTATCACATAACAAGCCCGATGCATTCCTCCACTTCAACCATCCAATTTGAATTCTGCTGATAATATCCCCATCTATTTCACCATCACTTTGAACAATTGATCCAAGATATCTAAAACGTGTACTCTTATTAATGACTTGATCGCCCAAAGTCACAATCCCTTCAGTAGGTCTATTACTACTAAAATTACACTCCATATATTCTGTTTTAGATCTACTCAAGCGAAAACCTTTAGACTCTAAGGTTGACCTCCATAATTCAAGTTTACCTTCAACTCCCTCTCTAGTCTTATCAACAAGAAGAATATCATCAGCAAAAAGCATACACCAAGGTACATCCTCTTGCAAATGTCTAGTGAGAACATCCATGACTAAAGTAAAAAGATATGGGCTTAAGGCTGATCCTTGATGTAACCCAACCGAAATAGGGAAATACTTGGTCAATCCACCTTGTGTTTGAACACAAGTAATAGCTCCTGCATACATATCTTTAATGATTTGAATATAAGCATTATTGACTCCTTTCTTTTCAAGAACTCTCCATAGCACTTCTCTTGGAACTTTATCATATGCTTTTTCTAAATCAATAAATATCATATGTAGATCCTCCTTATTTTCTCTATATTTCTCCATCAAACCTCTTAATAAATGTATGGCTTCCATAGTCGACCTACCCGGCATGAATCCAAATTGATTTTGAGAAACATTAGTATCACGCCGCAACCTATGCTCCATAACTCGCTCCCATAGTTTTAAAGTATGACACATTAACTTAATACCTCTATAATTCGCACAATCTTGTGCATCACCTTTATTCTTAAAAATAGGAATTAACATACTCATTCTCCACTCATCTGGCATCTTTTTAGTCTTCAAAATAGTATTAAAAAGTTTAGTAAGCCATGAAATTCCTTCATCTCCTAAGCATTTCCACACCTCTATTGGGATATCATCAGGTCCAACAGTTTTTCCACCCTTCATTTTCTTTAAAGCCTCTCTAATTTCAGTTTTACTAATACGCCGATAAAAACATAAATCTTTATTTTCATCTAGGGTGCTAAGGTCACTATAGTCAATCTTATTTTCACAATCTTCATTAAAAAGTTTAGCAAAATATCTCATCCATCTTTGTTGAATATCATCTTCTAAGAAAAGTATTTTTTGATCTTCATCTTTAATACACTTCACTTGAACTAAATCCTTACTACTCCTATCTCTTTGTTTGGCTAACTTATACATATATCTTTCTCCTTCTTTAGTATCTAATCTATTATATAAATCACTAAAAGCTAATGTCTTTGCATCGCATATGGCTTTCTTAGCATCCTTACGAGCAACTTTATATATTTCCCAATTATCAGAATTTTTAAAATTAAACTAATTTTTATAACAAAGCTTCTTATTTTTAATTTTTTCTTGCACATTAGGATTCCACCACCAACTATTTTTACTATTGGGAGCTTTTCCCTTTGATACTCCAAGGACATCTTTTGCAATATTCTTAATATCAGTAGCCACTTTTTCCCACATAATATTAGCATCCTCATGCACAGACAAAATCTTAAGATCTAAAATCTTATTTCCAAAAATATTTTTGTTAATATTCTTTAAATGCCCCCATTTAATCCTAGAAAATTGTTTTACTTTATTTTTTATTTTATGCCCCTTTATCTTAAAGTCCAAAACTAATAATCGATGTTGGGTACATAAATTTTCACTCGGAATAACTTTACAATCTTTGCAATCTAAACGATTTAATTTTCTAATAAGAAAATAGTCAATCTGGGTTGTATTATATCCATTTTTATAAGTGATGAGATGCTCATTCCTTTTCTTAAAAAAGGTATTAGCAATTAAAAAATTATAAGCTAAACAAAAATCCAATATGGTCTTGCCACCTTCATTCGTCGTTCCGAATCCATGGCCACCATGAATGCTTTTAAAATCATCTACCTCTCTACCAACATGTCCATTTAAATCTCCTCCAATAAAAACTCTTTTTTCAAGAGGTATATTTTGTATTAATTCTTTTAAGTCATTCCAAAAATTTAATTTAGAACTCATATCCAAACCTACTTGAGGAGCATAAGCACTTATAATATTAACAATCTTATCATCAACAACAATCTTTAAAGCTATAATTCTATTTCCAATCCTATTAATTTTTATAACATTATCTTTTAAACTCTTATCTATAATAACACCTACACCATTTCTAGTATGACTCCTACCTGAATACCAAAGTTTAAATCCTAAACTATCAATTTCCTTAGCCTTCTCTCCAACCCATTTAGTTTCCTGAATGCACAAAATATTTAACTTCCTATGAATCATAATATCTATTAATTCCATTAATTTTCCTGTAAGGGAACCTATATTCCAAGTTCATATCATAATTTTAGTTTCATGGACTAGCTTTTTTGCCCACATCTGTCCTTGATGTGGGAACCCTTGCCTATTTAACACTACACCCGGGCGCCGGTGCAGCGGCCCTTGCACACTTGTCACTATATCCAGGCCATACAGCGCGTCATTTCCAGGGGACGCCCTAGCATTAACACAATTTCTTAAGGGATTCATGTCATTATTATTCGACAAGTTTTACACTGGCTGCCGACTACCTAACGCAACCATCCACTTTTCTCATCCAAGACTTGAGACTTGGCAATGGTAGTGTTTGGTAAAGACTCAAAATTTGGAGAAAATTTGATCCCTAGAACTTTATAATCATGCTCTTGAGTGCTTGATTTGAGCCAATTTGGACTTAAATGAAACCTTTCTTGGTACCGTTGAGTTCATCTCGCCAAATTGCATTTTCTTGACTATGAATTTGCTGAAAATGAAGTTTGAGAGATCTCATAATCAATTGCTGAAGTTTATTTTCTAATTCAGATGAGTTTAGATTTTAAATTTACATTAAAATTTATGATTTTAAATTTAATTTAAAATTTATGTTTGATTAGATGAGTTATTTGGAGACATATCAAGCTCAAAGTTGGAGTTGCTTTTGATTGTAATGTTCTCCATATCTATTGCCTTTATTGTGAGCTGTGACCATTATATGATTATAATATGATGATGGTTTTATTAGCTACAGGTATCAATGCATGCAAATTTTTTTTGCCTTCAACTTAGGTGTTTAAATTTTTTGAATTTTGAACTTACGCTGGACACATGCGAATACTTCCGTTCATAATTTATGCTAAGGCTTCGTTTGTGACAGCTTTTGACCGCAGCTTTTTGGATGTTTTCATCCAAATTTTTAACTAAAAACTTGCTGTAACCTGCTATTGAAAGCAATAAGAAAGCTGTCCCCAAAAAAAATCTAAGTTGGCTATGCTTTTGGAACTTTGTTGGCATGATTGTAATAAAAAAATATCTTCTTGAATATTTGGTTTGACTTTATCATATCTTTGTTTTCACCTATCAACATTATGAAGAGTTACATTATTTTTCCATCGAACTTTGATGTCTTCCTCTATTTTTCAGGTTAAAGGTGTTGAGTTGTATAAGTGACAAGCTTTTACAGCGGGCGAAGAAGTTTCTATTGTACAAAGAAGTGTTTGAAAGAAGATGCGAAGATCTTCATAAGGCTGAAACTGAGGTAAATGCTATGTCAATGTCTCTTGTATGATGCAGAATTTCTCTCTGTAGTCCTAGACTTAGATGAACAAGTTTGAAAAATGGCATTAATTCAACTAATCGAACATGAAATATATACCAAAACTCGAAGTATTAATGATAGATCACAAATAATGGCTATAAGTTGTTAAAAAATACATGTGCAAATTATAGCACGTTTTGCAACACTCAATAAGAAGAAATGGTGATTAAGGTTTCATAATGTTGAACTCAAAATTTTGGGATAAGGAAAATTACGGTGATGATTCTTGCACTAAGTGACGCAAATTATTGCTTGCTTCTTGAAGCAACGGGGCATTTACCTCTTTAGGAAACATTCCTACTCAATTAGCAGCATAAAGCCTTTTTAATTCTTTCCCTTCCTTGCATAGTGAGTATTAGCTTTCATGGCCCCACAAGAGGGCCGAAACCCTCTCCCTGCTACTGCTCTGGTTCCCGCCCAACAGTTTTGCTAGGTTCGGTAGTCTTGGCCTGCTAACTGGCTCCTACCCTCCTCTGGCGTAACATATGATTTGTGCTGTTATTGATGCAGACATCTATCATTTGATTTTGGGACGAGCTTGGCAATTCTATATGGGTGCATAGTATGATTGTCGGTCTAATATTTATTTGTTTTAGTGGAAGGGCAAGAAAATGCGCCTAATAGCCTCAAATCCACCAAACTACTGAAGCAGAGCAATTGGCCTACCATGTTGTATCGGGCTTGCCAAGCTAATAGCGGAGCAACTTGTTAACACCTCAGAGATACCCGTGGCAATGCAAAATCTCCTTGAACAGTTTAATGGCATCACTTTGCTGGAATTACCAAACTAACTCCCGCTAGAGTGATCTATACAGCATCAAGTAGATCAAATTCAACACTTAACATTGCCAAATTTACCACATTACCGAATGAGCCCTAAATAGCACAAGATTTTGTAGGAAATAGTGGGTGATATAGTACAAAAGAAACTTATTAACCCTAGTTTGGGCCCTTGTATGGTTCCAACTTTAATTGTTCCAAGAAGGATGAAAAGCAGCGGATGCATGTGGATAGTTGTGCTATTAACAATATTTCCTGTTAAATACCATTATTCAATGTGACAATTAAAAGATTTATTAGGCAAGCTCTATGTCACCACCATATTCTCCAAACTAGATTTGCAAAAACAACTATCATCAAATTTGGATCCGATTGGGGCACTTGAATGGCAGACATCACGCCCTTTGGGTTATGCAACATCTCAAGTACATTTATGCGTGTGATGAAAGTGATATTCAATGCTTATCTTGGTCGATTTTGTGTGATATAGTTTGATGACATGTTGGCATTTATTAAGTACATATTAGATCATCTTCAACATTTCAAACTCCTATTCAATTCCTTGCAAACTCATAAATTCTATTTGAATTTACGGACACATGAGCTAGTAGTAAGCCAATTGCATTTCCTTGGTTTCATTATAAGAGTCATAGGTGTTGAAACAACATAAAAAATTGATGCTATTAAGACTTGATCGACACCCACATCCTTGAGCGAAGTGCACAACTTCAATAGATTAGCTAATTTCTATTGGCACTTTGTCAAATATTTCTGCTTCATTATGGCACCTTGATGTGATACCACATGCGAAGGAGCTTCTTAAGAAAATTAAAAGTGATTGACAATGGAATTACAATTAAGAGCTTATTGAGATAACAAGTAAAATCATTAAAGGTTCTTAGTTGTTAACTTGCTTAGGCGAAGGAGTACAAGTAGATTAACCAAAAACTCATGGATAACCAAGGATAGTAGCAATACCAAAAGCTATTAATCAACAATCCGTAATTTAATAACGAGAGTTTCACCTTGGGGATTGATCACTCAACTACACTAGGCTTAGCGGGAGAAGATCTTCAGCACACCAAACGATGCCATGAGGAAGGTTGCAACGCCGATGGTCTTGAGCCACGGAAAGGTCGACGGTGGTGGAGGAGACACGGACGGATAGCCGTTGACGGTCCACGAATAGTCCTCAAATTGCTCGTCGATTACGTCTACGAGCGTGGGGAGGATGCGATTCAAGTAGTCTTCAACGGTGTCGTCGAAATCAAAGGCCACATCAAAGAACGGCGATTGGTGGATGTCGACTTGACCTCGATCGTCATGCACAAATCCAAAGTTCCATTCGGATTTCGCCATGCATGCTTGGCGTCGGAGAATCTTCCACACGAAGAGAGGAAGAACGTGGTGTTGAAAGAGAGTACTTGTCGTTTGATAAGATGGGAGAGGAGGGGAGAGGGCCGGCGGGAATCTCAAGGAGAGAGGGTGGGGGCCGGCGGTTGTAAGAGGGAGAGAGCTAGGGTGAGAGCAAATTAAGTTGGATGCTTCTCAAAATGGTTTACTAAAATCTGAAATTTAATTTCAGGTTTTAGTAAATTTGGAGGGAAGTATTTGAAATAAATTTCAAATTTTGAATGTGATTAAGGGACTTAATGAGGGATTAATGAGGCCCATTAAGAGGGGAGGCCGGCGGCTTGTAGAGAGGGAGGGAGAGGTTTGAAAACTTAAAACTGAAATTTAATTTCAGTTTAAGTAATTTAGGAGGGAAAAACTTTGAAATCAAATTATGATTTCAAAACGGTCAAGACATTAAACAAGCAATTAATGAGGCGCAATTTGAAATTTGAAAGAAATTGAAACCTAAATCTCCTCTCCACTTTTGGTAAAACTGAAATTAATTTCAGTTTTATTTCCCTCACCATTCCCCTCTACATCTCCCGCCGGCTCCCCATTGGCTCCCCATTAAGGGAGCATTAATCCCCCTCCTTTAATTTGGGATTTCAAATCAAAATCCTAATTAAGCTTCCCTCCTAAAATTCTAAAACTGAAATCAATTTCAGTTTTGGCTACAACCCTTCTCTCCTTCCTCCCTTACCCCACCGCCGGCACCCTCCTTCTCCCTCTACATCCCGCCGATCTCCCCTCTCCCCCCCTTCCTTGGAGAGTTTGTGACGACAACCACCCATTCTCCTCTCAAACGATGCATGGAGGTTCCCGAATGGAACTTCGGGTTTGAGTACGACGAGCAAGGACGAGTAGACATCCTCCGGTCCCCTTTCTTTGACGTCGGATTCGACTTCGACGACACCGTTGAGGAGTATTTGGCCTGGATCGTACCCACCTTGATAGAGACCATTGACGATCACTTTTCAGTGTACACTTGGATCGTCAAAGGACGTCGCTTTGCAACACCTCCACAAATCGTGCCGACCTCTCCCTCCCTACGGATCTACGGCGCCGTCGCTCTAGGAGTGATCTCGTCCATCGTGTGGCTCTTCTTCTCCCAACAAGCCTAGTAGTAGGTAAATGAGAGTGGCCTCAAGGTGAGACAATCGCTTTGTTAACCTTGGGATTTTTGTTGTTCCTTTTCATTTGTTTTACGTTTATGAAAGTCGTTATTTTTCTCGGCCTTGCTAATTTACGTGTAAGTGCTTGTCTAGCCGTAGTTAACAATTGAGATTTCCGAAAAGCTTGAATTGGGAACGAGTTTTAATTTGGGTAGTTGATGCTCTAACTAGGCGAGCTAGCCTGCTGGTTGCTTTCTGGTTGCTTTGTAAACTGCTATTATAGGACTTGAATCTTTGCATGAGCAGAATGAAAACCTTGGGCCAAGTGCCAATTACAAACGGCCATGAGTGATTACCACATCCAGTAGGGTTATCCATTTAAAGGTAACGAGTTATGTATTCCTGTCACTTAACTTATATTTCAATTGATCTATGAAATGCATGTTGTAGGACTTGTGGCTCCTGTGGGGCGAGACAAGATGCTAGCTCTTGTTCAAGCCCGTTTCTTTTGGTTTTTACTGTGGTGGGACTTATGCCCCTATGTTGAAAAATGTCACGCTTGCTAGGCATATAGATGAAACACTTGAGAAAAAGGGTTGAGTAATAATGGAGAATGGTGGAATCACACCAATTGCCGACAACCCTGTCGTCGCCTTTGTTGCCTCCTTACTATCCTGGTAAAAGCCCAATGGATCTACCCACAATCAAATCACATAGAAGACAGCGTGGGCTTCAGACATAGTAGATACTAGAGTGCTTGCCAAGGTTTTGGATGATGAGATTGACGAATAAGGTGAAGGAGTGGAATCCATGGTTGAGGAGGAGGGGTTGAAGGGGTGGAGGGGATGGTGATTCGCAGATAATACAGGAATCACTTGAGGAAGAGTGTGAATTCGCTACTGGATAAAGACAACTTACGTTAGCATTACCTGCCTATCAAGTTGCTTACTTGAACTTACTCATACTTAAACTGCTTAACCCAGACAAGTGCTTGTAAGTTTCTATCAACCTCATATTTAATAAAAGAAATGAAGGGGTTAAGCTAGCCAGTTCTAATAATATTTGGTTCGTTGAAAATAAACCTTATCAGGTCCATGCTAGCCTACTTGACGGCTCCACAAAGAAGTTGAAGGAAACTTTACTGGTGAAAAGAAACAAGAACAGCTATAAGAAGCTACAATGGTCACCCACATGAGACAAATTATGAAACCAATACCTAGCCTGTACCCAAAAACCACCACACCTCACCTTTCCATAGGCTGGGAGGCTCTTAATAACTCAACTAACTAAAAACATTTCAAAATTAAAAATAGAAAAATCAAAATTCATAATTTAGATTCAAAATTTAAAACTCTAAAATTCAAAACGATTCTTGCATTGCAAACTTTTCGTGATTTTGATGATTGTAGACTTTAAGTTGTCCATCATTATACCTATAAATAGTTAGGCAATGCGGCTAAAAAATAAATAGGCAGGCCTTCACAGATATGTAATCAAAAGTTTCAATGTGCATGCATGGTCAAGTTATTCTTATATTTACGATATATTTATGGTTCTGGGGTTAATTTTTCACTTTAAATGCTAACATTATTCTTATATTTTGCTTGCTTGTCAGGTTGATCTTTTAGGTGATGAGGTTGATCAACTGATCTCTCTTCTTGGCAAGATATACTTGGCTCTTGAACATTATTCTTCAGTGTTACAGTATTATCCTGGGGTAATTATTTTTTTCTGTTATTTGTTGTTATCTTGCTTTATATATGAATGACAGCATTACTGGTTGGATAGGATCTTTTGTATAATTATAAAATAAAGAAGAGCTTCACCTTTATGATATGAATGACCACTTTTAGACTTTTTTTGTGACGGTTTTTTTACCGCTTCTTAAAGCAGCTTTCTAATATTAAAAATTTAAATTTTTATACTAAAAAGCTAAAAATATGCTTTAAAAAGCAGAAATAAAGCGATCCCAAAACACTAAAAAGATATGCCAGTGCATATCCGTTGCATGTCATTTCCCAGCGAAGGCAAGCTCTGTATGCCATCCGCAAGTTTCATGTCCCATATGGCTTCAGCTCTCAATTTTTGGGCATTGGGCATAGTCTGAAACATGTTATAAGTTCGTTGTCCTTCATGTTACCATTCCTATAGGTTACAAATGACATTTTGGTTTATAGACTTTTGTTTCTTATTTACTTCATAAACTTCTTTATCTTTGATGAACATTCTCAAATGTTATTATATTATCCAGAGACATTTTATTTGCAAACAGGGAAAAAGTTGGGTTAGGATATCCTGATTAAATTATTTATTAGGATGAGCTTTAAACGTATTAAATTTATGTTAAGATAAGTGCAAAATAATTTTGATTCATTATTTATTTATTACACTCATCTTAAAGTAAATCAATTGTTTTGAGATCTGTCTTGACCAAGGCTTCGTTTGGGACGGCTTTTTTAATGCTTCTTAAAACTGTTTTTTAGTGAGAAAAATTAAAATTTTTGTACTAGAAAGCTTCTTTAAGAAGCAGTAAGAAAGACCTCCCAAATGAAGCCTAAAACTTCGAATAGAATATTCTCATTCAAATTTTGTCTGATCCCAAAAAATTTCCCTCAAATACCCTCAATGTGTTCATATTTACTTCTTTCATTTCTTCTTTTTCTTGGTTGCCACAGCAGCGAACTGAGTTGGTTTTCTATAATGCTTTTAATCTGCTTTGTTTTTCATATTTAACAATATACCAAATTTTTTATTTATGGTATGGGCAAAACACTTGCAAAGCAACTTGTTACCTTCTATGTCTATGTGAATTATGTGCTATAGTTTTCTGAAATCCAAATGTGCTTGCTCTTTATGTTGATCGACCGTTTATTCATTTGCAGGTTATGGAGACTCTGAATCTGATTAGAAGAGAAATTAAAGGAGAATAATAAATCATTTCGACAAGTTTCTTTGGTGAATGGAGTAATTTCTTGTTCGCTAACCGATTTTGCTAGCAAATGGAATCTAATATTGTTATCCTTCTTCTGCAAACTGTCATTAACTAGTCCAGACTCCTGAGCCTGTGCTTCGATCAAACATACAGGAAGAGAGAAACTCCATTGGCAGTTCAGTTTGCTTTGAATTTGGTATTATTTTTTATCAGAAGATGGGAAGTTTTTATTTTTGTTTTGATGTTTATATTGTTTGTTTAGTTGGAAGTTTTTTGAACTGTAAATGGATGGGTAGAATTTTGAAGCTGTAATATGCATATTAGTCACCAGTATACAGACTTGAGTTGAAAATGCTTAGGCTTCGTTTGGGACAGCTTTCTTTCTTTTTAAAATAACTTTTTAGTACAGCTGCTTTAAAAAGCAGTAAGAAAACCGTCTCAAATGAAGCCGTAGTTACTGTATAAGCTGCTTTGAATAGAAATGCAACATTTTGCTACAGTTGGATTCCAGTAATAGGGCTTCTCTGTAGTTTGTTTTGAGCCATAAAATTCTTTTTGAATGACTACTTGGGATTGAATTCAGTATTATAGTCTATTTAAAATAATTCTGATTTTTGGATTTAATTCCAGCCATTCAATCTGAAATGTATGATTGAGATTGAATTACAGATTTCTGGAAAGAGGTGGATAAAGAAGGAAATGTTTTTCAACATTTGAGAGCCCTCTATTTAATACCAGATGGATAATTACAGGCTGTCTTATGTGAGTAATTATTACGTCCGATCAAATTCGAACGTATCTGAATGTATACCGAGTGCTCAATACCGAGTTTCAGGTGATGTGGCGTGTGGTTATTGGTCTATGAACGCGTTCGGTTGACCGGACGTAATAATTGCTCGTCTTATGTTTTGATACTTTCATAAAAAAATTCAGCTGATCAGACAATTTTGATTCCAGATTCATTATATGAATTTAAAAAATTTGAAAACAAATTTAGATTCATCTACACTCAAATTTTAATAAATTTATAATTTAATTAAAATTTTGATGAATCTAATTGGAGTTTAAATGAGTCAAAATCAGGCTCTTGATGTGTAATTAAAAACTTTGAAGAATTAATTGAAGGGTTAAATGATATTTTAATTAGGCATTCATGTGATTAAATCATTAGTCTCCATAAATATGAATCCAATGTTTTTATTTAAACCAAAATTTTAAATTTGGCATGCTTATGATTAATTGAAAGCTTTTAAGCGTATTAGAAACAACGGATTCATAACATTGAGATGCTTGAAATTAAGTATTTTAATTGCTTTTAAATTAATTTGAAATTAAGTCTTTGTGATAGTTTTTTTTAGCACTATTTTTTGTTGCTTCTAAAAATTTTTTTTGTAGAAAGTAGTAAGAAAATTATCCCAAATGAGACTTAAATTCAAAATAAGTACAACATATTCACAATGTGCCATTCTTGAAATTCAGCTCGTCTTTGAGATAGAGCAAGATTCATCACTAATAAGTATATACTTATGTACGAGAATATGTTAGATGAAGGGGTGAAATTGTGCGAGGCTCAATATGAGAAATTATTCTGTGCAGATTTCGAAATGTTCAGAGGCGAATCAGAATGTGCCATGTCACCCGGTACACAGTGGTATTTAGTTGTGGTACACAACAAATGAGTGACGTGACACATTCTGATTCGGCTCCGAACGATATTCGTATTGGCACAGAATAATTTCACCAAGATGACGATATGGATGTGAGTCATCATGACAATGATTGCTGAAGAATTAAGCTATAAAGTTTTATACAATACAATATTAGTCTATTTTTAGAAAATTCAAATAGAGTAGTTTAATCAATATAACAAATTAAGACAAAAATATATTATAGACAATTGATACATTCCTAATGACCTAAAATTAAGTTTAGTTAATACAAAGATGCCTTAAAAATATTTTTATTAGGGATTTTTTAATCACAATCTATTTTTTGTTTGAGATTTGTGTTATTAAGTTTCTATTATAAATTTATTAGACAATAAGACATTTCTTATAAAAAATTTTAGATGCCTGTTTCAATATTTTCTAAAAGTTTATTAATTTTGTTAGATGAATCATGATGAAGTTATAGGCTAAAAAAATGATGAAGTTATAGGCTAAAAAAATGATGAAGTTATAGGCCAATCTTATTTTCAAAATTTATGTCAAATTTTAAAATTCTCTCAACAACAAAATCAAGCCTTTGTCCCACTACGCATGGTCGGCTACATGAATCCTTTTTCTCCATTGTGTCATGTTAAAAGTCAAATTCTTGTTTAAATCTAATATAGAAAGATCATTTTTAATATTTTATAACCAAGTCTGTTTAGGTCTACATCTACCTTTCTTAACATAAGTCAAATCAAATACCTATACTTTCCTAACCGAGTCATCGGAAGGCCGCCGTTTTATGTGACCAAACCATCTAAGACGACTCAATCTAATCTTATCTTCCACTGGAGCTACTCCAACCTTTTCACGTATATGCTCATTTCGTATCCTATTTCTAAGGGTAAAACCACTCTTCCACCTGAGCAACCTCATCTCTACAACAATTAACTTAGTAATATGCTTCTCTTTTAATGGCCAAATTAGGCACCATAAAGTATTGCAGGTCTCACCATCATCTTATAGAATTTTCCCTTAAGTTTGAGGGGGACTTTTCTATCACACAACAAGATCGATGCATTCCTCCACTTTCCATCCAACTTGAATTCTGTTGATAATATCCACATCTATTTCACCATCACTCTCAACAATAGATCCAAGATATCTAAAATATGTACTCTTATTAATGACTTGATCGCCCAAAATCACAATCCCCTCACTAGGTCTATTTCTACTAAAATTATACTATATATTCACTTTTAGATATACTCAAGCGAAAACCTTTAGACTCTAAAGTTGACCTTTATAATTTAAGTTTACCTTCAACTCTATCTATAGTCTTATCAACAAGAAGAATATCATTAGCAAAAAGAATACGCCAAGGTACATCCTCTTGCAAATGTCTAGTGAGAACATCCATGACTAAAGCAAAAAGATATGGGCTTAAGGCTGATCCTTAATGTAATCCAACCAAAATAGAAAAATACTTGGTCAAACCACCTTGTGTTTGAACATAAGAAATAACTCATGCATACATATCCTTAATGATTTGAATATAACCATTATTAACTCCTTTTTTTCAAGAACTCTCCATTGCACTTCTCTTGGAACTTTATCATATGCTTTCTCTAAATCAATAAATATCATATGTAGATCCTCCTTATTTTCTCTATACTTCTCTATCAAACCTCTCAATAAATGTATGGCTTTCATAGTAAACCTACCCGGCATAAATCCAAATTGATTTTTAGAAACATTAGTATCACATCTTAACCTATGCTCCGTAACTCGCTCCCATAGTTTTAAAGTATGACACATTAACTTAATTCCTCTATAATTCACACAATCTTGTGCATCACCTTTATTCTTAAAAATAGGAATTAAAACACTCATTCTCCATTCATCTAACATCTTTTAGTCTTATAAAAAGTATTAAAAAGCTTTGTAATCCAAGAAATTCCTCCATCTCCTAAGCATTTTCGCTCCTCTATTATGATATCATAAGGTCCAACAACTTTTTCACACTTCATTTTCTTTAAAGCCTCTCTAACTTCGGTTTTACTAATACGCTGATAAAAACATAATTTTTTTTTATTTAAAGTGCCAAGGTCACTAAAGTTAATCATATTTTCACAATCTTTATTAACAAGTTTAGCAAAATATCTCATCCACCTTTGTTGAATATCTTATTCTAAGAAAAGTACTTTTTGATCTTCATCCTCAACTCACTTAAACTAAATCCTTACTACTTTTATCTCTTTGTTTAACTAATTTATACATATATCTTTCTTCCTACTTATTATCTAATCTATGATATAAATCATTAAAATCTAAGATCTTTGCATCATATATTGATTTCTTAGATTTCTTACATGCCTCTTTATATCTATATCAATTATTAGAATTTTTTTACCTAAACCAATTTTTAAAACAATTTTTTTTTATCTTTTCTAGCACATTTGGATTCCACCACCAACTATTTTCACTATTAGAAGTTTTTCCATTTAAAACTCCGAACACATCTTTTGCAATAATCTTGATATCACTAGTCACTTTTCTACATAATATTAATATCCTCATGCACAGACTAAATCTTAAGATCTAAAACTTACTCTCAAAAATATTTTTGTTAATATTCTTTAAATGCTTCCATCTAATCTTAAAATATAGTTTGACTTTATTTTTTTATTTTCTATCCATTTGTCTTAAAGTCCAAAACTAATAATCAATGCTGGGTACATAAATTTTTACTTGGAATAACTTTATAATTTTTGTAATCTAAATGACGTGATTTCCTTATAAGAAAATAAACAATCGGAGTTTTACTATATCCATTTTTATAAGTGATGAGATGCTATCTTTTTTCTTAAATAAGGTATTAGTAATTAAAAAATCATAAGCAAAAGAAAAATCTAAAAGGATCTTACCACATTCATTTTTTATTTCAAACTCATGGCAACCATAAATATTTTTAAAATCATCTATCTCTCTACTAACATATCCATTTAAATCACATCCAATAATTTTTTTTTCTTCAAAAGTTATATTTCATATTAAGTCTTCTAAGTCATTCCAAAATTTTAATTTTGAATTCACATTCAAACCTATTTGAGGAGCATAAGCACTTATAATATTAATTATCTTAGCACAACAATAATCTTTAATTCTATATATAATTATATCTCCAATTCTATGAATATTTATAATAATATCTTTCAAACTGTTATATATAATCACGCCTACACCATTTCTAGTACGACTCCTACATAAATGTCATAGTTTAAATCCTAAATTATCAATCTTCTTAGCCTTCTCTCTAATTTATTTAGTTTCCTGAATGCACATAATATTTATTTCTTATGAATCATAATATCTATTAATTCTATTTATTTTTCTATAAGGGAACATATATTCTAAGTTCTTATCCTAATTTTAGTTTCATGGACTATATTCATTGCTCACATCTGTCCATGATGTGGGAACCCTTGCATATTTAACACTGCACCCGGGGGCCGGTGCAGCAGCGCTTACACACTTGTTGCTATATCCAGGGGACGCCCTAGCATTAACACAATTTGTTAAATGATTCATGTCATTATTATTTTACAAGTTTTACGCCACTACTAAAAAATAAGGCTTTCGCAGCACTTTTTAATACCTACTGCAACGATTTTAACACATGCTAATTTATTTACAGCGGTTTAATAACTGCTGCATATCCACTGTATTTGCGTTTGCTGCAAAGGCTTTAGCAGTGGTTTTATGAGTGCTGCTGAAGGTAGGCTTTAGCAGCGCTTTTAGTATGTGTTAAAACCACTGCTAAAAGATAAAATTGATTAAAAATATATATAATACCAAAAAAATCAAATTTGGTAATTAGTGTAGCAGGCACATCATCTACATCATTCAGTGAGCTTTACCCACAAAAGCTGGCTGTAACTTTTTTCTGGTAATATAAATATAAGTCTAAGAGTATGTGCAAAGTTGGTATCAATAAAAGACCCATCTTCGAAAACTCAGCTATTACATCAACATGATCCAAGAAATAAGCTTTTCATTGAAGTTCAGATGCTTTTGCAACACTCACTAAGACTATAAAGAAAAATATAATAAATGAAGAACTCGCCTATCTTCTATGTGAGGAATACCAGCACAAAAAAAAATGATAAAAAGAATTAATAAGCAGGCTATCATCATAATTTGCCCCTTCGCTCCAGCCTTCTTCATAACCATAACAGCTTTTTTCTGCAACAATAAATCATTTCCTTTGTAAACTACTCGAGGCATATCTACCAGATTGAAACAATGGAATGACAGTAAATGAACATAAGAATTGAAAAAGCTCATCATCACAAATGAACAACATAAATAACATTAATAACAATACACCTCAACATCAACACAATGTAGTGAATAACCTCAATAGCATTAATAACATTACCTACCATTCAATACTCTCGTAATTTGTAAGGAGTTCCTTGGTTAGATGAACATGCTCCCCTGTTTCAAAAGGTGTTTGCTCCAATTCATGGAAAGTAACTTGTAGCTTGTTAATTCCTGAAAATGGGAATGAATAATTCATAAGTGGAAGTGTAAAACACCATATAAACAAAGCATTATAGCAAATCTAACGACTTCCATCAGAAAAAAGGAACTAATCTATTAATACATTTAACACACCCCTCCCATATCCACAAAAAAAAAAAATAATAATAATAATAAACGGACTCAATCTAATGAAAAAATGGGGAGCATCTAAGTCACCATCAAATAGCCACAAGAAGTTCATTACTAATTTCAAAAGAGTAATAAATTGAATCTCCTCATTACATCCTTATGCTTCAAAAAAATGGAATTAGTTTATTTTACACTCATCCAGGCACGCTGGCATTACATGTTCACCGTATGACCGTCCTTCAAACACTTTAGTTTACAATGAATCCTCCAATTCATCAGTTAAGTTCAGTTTCTCTATCAAAATATAAACTTAGCTTTGTCTGTATGAAAAAGGGATATACTAATCACATTCAAAGCAAATATTTTGGACTTCCTGCAAAGAATCAGCAAGAATAAACGATTCTTAAATATGTTATGTGCATTAGTAATTCTGCAAAGAATCAACAAGAATAAACGATTCTTGTAAGTTGCATGCTCCACTTGAGGATCCCAGCTTTTCATTTAAAATTAAAAAATGGAGAATCAGTAAAAACTAAATAACTAACTGGTTGAGACAAAAAGCCTTAGGTAAGTAATTATGCATGCTCTTAATTTTACCAAAACTACCAAGCCAATTACCTGTTCAGATAGGTAACTTTCAATCAACAATTCATTCATAATTTTAGAACCCATATCATGTGAACTTCAAACTACCTCAACAAGGGATAATTTAATTAGTGGTAAGTTTTGCATAGTTGGAAGAAAACAGCTGCACAATCAAGAATTTATTTTTCATGCTCAACAAACAAAAGGAGCTTTTGAAGGGGCTTTTGCACAAATACTTGTAGTGCAGTTTGCTGAGTTGAAGATAACATTAGTGGCAACATTTGATGGAGGTGCACACCTGCAATTAAGATAAGAACAAACAATAGAATCCTTAGAATCATTTAACTAATGGATTATGAACATATTGGATGAACTCTTTGTTGCAAACTAAATAAAAATAGAAAAAAAAAGTTTGCAATCATAATAAAGCTCCCAGTTTTGAAATTCACAAATAAAAATCATGTTTATTACTGGAATCATAGTTTGTCGATCCAAAATTAGATTTTGAATAGGATGAAAGACAAAATCAAATAACAAGGCTGGAAAGATTGCCACAAACTTCTACAAGAGAACAAGAATTTAGCTCGATAATAAAGCATCCACAAAGGTCTAGAAAATAATTAAAGTAGCAAACTAGCATAACACGAGGAAGCAATTTAAGTGGATTTGTCTTACTTCTTTGTCGTTTGAATTAATTCCAACTTATTATCTGCAGCTAAACGAAAAAGACAACAAACTGAGAACTGCTTGTATTCGTTTAAGGGAGTATCCAGATGGAACCCCATACCACCGTCAAATGTGATGACAGGCTTCAATTTGATTTCTTCTTCCTATGATGAGAAACAAATAGTTATGATTGTCTAAAAATGCTGCTGTGAAATCAAAATAAGAAATTAAAATAAACGTTTTGCCATAATAAATGGGGTTAAGATACCATTTTTTATGTGTATACCTCTCCGATAATGATTTCTCGATGTCAATGGTGAAATGGGTCAGTGAGCTCGATGGCGGCCGAGAGATGGCTAGTTGATGGGTTGAATAGTGAGAAAAAGGCAGGGGGAAGAATTGGGGTACGAGCGGAGCTTGTTTGAGAGAAGAAAGAACAAACCTGTTCTGTGGATGCTTGAGCGAGAGGGAGTGATCAGGAACGGGATCTGTGGATCCTTGGCCGAGAGGAGTAATCATGCGAACTAATAAAGAAGGGACGAGTGGAACTTGCATGAAAAGAGGATGAACGGATATGTGGATCCTTGGCTGAGAGGAGTAATCGAGACCGGCTAGGGCATCGAACAGGAGAACAAAGCGGAAAGGATCGGGCGTGCGCGGGAGAAGCGAGTTTTAGACTTTTTAGCATTTCAATTACATAAAACAGTAGCGGTTTTTTAAACCGCTGAAATTAAAAGGCTGCGAAAAATATAAATTTTTAGTAGTGCTCATGCTAGCTGTGGACTACCTAACACAACTCTTCGTTTTTCTCATTCATGACTTGTGACCTGACAACTATAGTGTTTAAAATATCTTCATATTTTATAATATAATAACTTTATTTACACATTAAATTAGTGAAAGTAAATTAATTAATTTCTAAAATATTGTTTCTATTTACAAATAGGTTTAAAAATGAGGCAAATATGAAGGGAAAAAAGCTTTGATTATCAAGTCCTATTAATTATCAAGTTAGAGCATAATAAACTCAAGTTGGTTAACTATCTTCATATCAGATTGACTTATTAGTGGAAAGACACATTCCAATTATTGTTGAAGGCCATCAAACTATTAGGATATTAAACATTTGTATTTTCAATATTTACTGCTTTACCATTATACTCTCTTTATATAGCTTGCAATACTGTACACATAATTCATTAAATACAATTTCCATTCAATTCTATCTTTCCCGCTCTCTCTCTGTCTGCTTGGTTCTCTCCTCACCTCCATCGGCTACATCGTCTTCATGGTATCAAGAGCCGTCACTGTGGATCAAGAATCCACTAGTTCCAACCCTCCCTCCTCCGCCGCTCCCATGGCATCCACCACCACCGCTTACACTATTCCCGCCAATCTCAAATTCCTCGTCTCTAACATCAAGAATCTCATCCCCTATCCCCTCACCGCCGATAACTACCCCATTTGGCGCACACAGATTCTACAACAATTTCTTGCGAATGATTACGCCGGTCATCTCACCGGTCAAGCTGCTCCTCCGGTGGACACTTCTTCTGCCGAATACAAGCTCTGGCACACGGCGGACAGCAATCTACTTTCAGCTCTCTTCTCCACTCTCTCTCATTCCATTCTTCCCTACATCATTACTTCCACCACCACGCACGAGGCTTGGTCGATTCTTGAGCGTCGGCTTCAACCCACAAGCCGATCTCGTGTTATCCAGTTAAAGAATGAATTATACCATGTTCAACTTAAAGATATGACCATTCAACAATACCTTACCAACATCAAGACCATTGTGGACAATTATTATGTAAGGCTTGATCAGATATTTGGTTAAGGGCTCCTTTTAAATGAAAAAAATCTTGATGTTATTTGTAATTTGGCCCATTATTATATAAGGCTTTGTTTGGGACGGCTTTCTTACTGCTTTCTAAAATAGCTTTTTAGTTCAAAAACTTATTGAATTAGAATTTTTTGTGCTAAAAAACTGCTTTAGAAAGCAGTAAGAAAGCTATCCCAAATAAAATCTAAGATTCATTTAATTTAAAATATGAGTGTATCATAATTTCTAAATTATATTTTCTAGATATTAATAATAAAATAAATGAATAAGATGGATTTTCTCTATACTTACACATAAATATGTTAATATAGTAGGTACTTTTAGACATCAAGTTTTTATGGAAACAAACATAATAGGATGGGCACTTATTTGTTTTCAAATCATCTAATAAGATAAAACATTTCCATGCATTTGACACAACATAACATTATATCTTAAAATTTAAAATTATATATCAATTGTATAAATTAAATAAATATGAAATAAATTTATATAATAATAAATTAAGTTCACATGAAATAAGAAATATATTTAAATTTTTTAAATATCTTAAACACAATTGAAAAAGAAAGAATCACATGATATTATAAATTGTTCTTGGGTGTTAACAAAATTATTATTTTTAAATATTATAAAAAAATAAAAAAGGAGTAAAATAAAAAATAAAAATAGTATTAAGTGGATATTACATTAGTTAAGACTTTAAGTAACCTGTTTTAAAATAAAATAAAACAAAACCCTTAACTTAAATTATTTAAATAATACAATTTAAAAAAAAAATAAATTTTTGGAACCCATATATTGAACATTTGTAGGGGTGTAAATGAGGGCAAATTATTAGGTCCGGTCAACTGACAGAGAGATACATCCGGATTTATCTCTGTCTACAGTAAAAAAACAGTCAAAACGCAACTGCTATAGTAACTATACTTTGACTGCACTTTACTGTCGAAATAGGAAAATCCGAATGTATTTTTGTAACAAGTGACGAACCTAATAATTTGTCGTAAATGAGTGAGTCGAGTAGTAAATTAATAACAATATGGAGCTCGGTTCGTCAGAAAGCCATCTTAAACTTGAGCCTGAGCTCCAGTTGAGCTCAAAAAATGGAATTTTTATTGCCTCAGGTTACCTGACGTAGAGATACATCAGGTAGCCTATAATATATCGCCACGTGCTCTTATTTTTTACCGTGCAGCCCGACGACCCAACCCGGAACGAATCCGGGATTACTATGTTCGCGTATTGCTCGGTATTTGCTCGGTATTGCTAGGTACTACTTGTTATTTGCTCGGTATTGCTCGGTATTTGCTCGGTACTTGCTCGGTAATGCTCGGTATTTGCTCGGTACTTGCTCGGTAATGCTCGGTATTTGCCCGCCTGGACGCTCGGTACGAGGAGGTTCGTCCCGACACAGAGAGTGAGAGAGAGAGCGACGGAGAGGAAGTGGTTCCGTGCGGTCTTTCCAGCCGAAGGATAGAGCGGAGTTCTTCCTGCTTGTCTGTGCTCGTCCGAACGAGAGTAAGTGAGAGCAGAGCCGGTCGGCTTTGCCTGTGTTCGTCCAGCCCGAGCAACAAGGAAGCCCGATCGGGCCTCCCGTGTCAGTGAAACCGGGGAAAGAAAGAGCCGCAGCTGCGGTTCTACCGCTGTCGCGCGACCCAGGTGGAGCGAGGGACCCCTCAAGCGCCCTCTTGCTTACGTTTCTGACGTCCGTCCGACCAAACCAGAAGGAGGAAGAAGCTCTCCTGTGTGCAATCGAACTCAACCAGCACACAGGGATCTTTTCTCGTGCAGTTCTCCCTACCTTTTTCTTTGTTTCTCTCTGAAATTTAAGGGGGCTGCCATTTCTTCCTTTTCCGAGCAAATACCGAGTAGTACCTAGCAATACCGAGTAGTACCTAGCAATACGCGAACATAGTAATCCCGGATTCGTTCCGGGTTGGGTCGTCGGGCTGCACGGTAAAAAATAAGAGCACGTGGCGATATATTATAGGCTACCTGATGTATCTCTACGTCAGGTAACATGAGGTCAGGTAACATGAGGCAATAAAAATTCCAAAAAACGAGCTTGTCCCGCTGTAAAAGAGCTCGAGCTCACGAGCTTCCGCGGTCCGGTCGTCTTCATCGCTCACAAGCGTGGTCTGGTGGTCTTCCGAGCCCACAAACTCGCGAGCCTCGGCGGTCCGGTCGACTTCCGCGTCCACGAACTCCGCGGTCCGCCTCGAATTGCGAAACAGCGGGCGGGAGCGAGACTTATGAAACTGCGGGTGGGATTGTGAAACAGTAGGGCAGGATTTGCGAAAAAGAGCCGCCGGCATATAAAGTAAACTAACGGTGTTGTTTATTACTTCATTCTGAGCTTCAGATGTCGAGGTGAAAGGTATGGCAGGTTTGATGGAGTTTTTTTTTTTGGGGGGAATTTTGGGGTCAAGGCCCATAAAAATCACTAAAATAAGAAGGGAATTACAAGTAAGAAAAAGTCACAAGAAAAAGCACCCCAACATAAGCAAAAAAACAAAAACTTATGTGAGGAAAAGGGAAAAAAAAAAAATCCCAACTATACCACCCAATTACAATTAAAAACCCAAAAAGAGCTCAAAGAGAATACATGGTAGTAAGCATATGACCAAAATGAAGCCAAAAATCAGCAGTCCACAATCCAGAACACGCAGTAGATGACGAACCAGCTGGCAACAGCAAAGATGAACACCTGTAGAAAGCAGAATAGAAAGAACAGCTCCCTTGGCTTGGTGCCTGGACTCAGAGAGAAAAACAGTGGATCGAGGGACATTTCCCTGGTTGCCCGAAGACCATCCAAGGGAGATACAAGGGAGCTTCATCATCGTCCAGGCACAGCCTTGTATCATACCCGAGGGGCAGAAAGTCTTAGAGACAGAAGAGAAATGCCAAAGAGTCCACCAAAAGATATTTCCAGAATTTCCAAAACAACTATCCACAACAAAACTACTCCAGCCAAAAGAAATACAGCTGCAGGTGAAAAAAAACTCAAACAGAGAGGCCAACCAGATGAGGCTCATTCTAGCCCAGGAGGTACAAAAGTTCATGTGCATTTTTCCAACCCAGCAGTTTTTCTCTACAAGCTCTTTTAATTTTTCTAATATGGAGTTTAATTTGGCTTTTAACATTTGCAGAAATGATATTTCTATGAAGTTCCATGTGTTCTGTCAGAGTTAGAATTTTTTTTTTTTGGGTGTAGAGGGTTAGAATTAAGTCCAAACGAAATTAACCTTTTACCATGCATGTTTGTCTTTATTATCTGTCAGCCTAGTGTAATTATGCATCCATCTGTTTTGATATGTATTTGGCTTTCGTATGCAAGCTGCTGTTACCAGGTAAATCTAAACAAACCAACTTTGGGGTTTATGAATGCTTTGTTTTCTGCATGATCTCATGAAATAATAGAAATATGCCGGCTCTATCTTCTCTCTATCATATTCATCATCATCATTAGCGTTATCTATCCTAACTATTTAGGGTAATTGGATGAGATTCAAAAAACATAAGAACACTGCATGCACAGATCAAAGTTCGTAGCCGCAAACTTAAGATGAGATAAAATTTAGACTTCATTTGTAACAGCTTTCTTATTATTTTTTAAATAATCTTTCTTACTGTTTTTTAAATCAATTTTCTAGCATAAAAAATTTTAATTCAAAAAATTTTTATGCTAAAAAATTGCTTTAGAGAGCAGTAAGAAAGCTGTCTCAAATGAAACCTTAGTCTCTTTTGTTGCAAATTAAAAAGTATAATAAACTCGCTCCAAATGATAATTTAAATATCATCAAAATTTAAAGTTTTGCAACAAATTTGCATATGGAAAAGCAATATAACAATTAGGATTAAAAAATTGTAGTTGAGAAAATTCAATTACAAAATCACTAAATAGAAGATTTAAGACTCAATCCCCGTGTAATGAGAAGCTTTAGAGTTTAGATAGGGGCGGAGAGAGGGAGGCTTAGCGGGGCACGCCTTCAAAATTTAAAAAAGTCCGCATCGGATGCTTCCTGTAAGCAGTTTTCGGGAGCCTTTAGATATCATGCTTGAATAATTAACGGCACACGCATGAGTTTATGAAAAATTGAATTTTTATTTTGCATCCAAATGAATTTTGACATGCCAAAATGACATTAATACTGGATTCCTGCCAGAATACTAAGTTGAGCAAGGAAATAAAAACCTGACTATAGGAGAAAGCCAAGTATTTGATCCTTGCTACGGTTGGAAAGCCAAATAAAAGGAAGGAAACTGACTGCAATAAAGAAGGAAGAAGTCATATGAGGCAATAGATAATAATAGTAACGTCAAATGAGCTGCAAATCAATAGTGGCATGATTTGAAGGATGAGGACACACAGTGAACAATCTAAACCCTAAACTCAGCTACAGTGCATGCAAATATCTGGAAACAAGGTGTTCAAAAATAAGGGATTCAAATTCTCTTAGATAATCCTACAAGAGATGAATCAAAGCAACTTATTCTGTTTAAACATTATTTTTATGTTTATTCAATCTTTCTTCATAATCCTCCAACATCAAATTTCTCTATTTTCTTCATTTTACATAAAAGTTGTTTTAAAAAGTAATAAAAAATCATCCTAAACGAAGCTTTTTTACTGCTTCTTAAAGCAGCTTCTTAGTATAAAAATTTAAATTTTTGTACTAAAAAGTTATTTTAAGAAGTGGTAAGAAAGCCGTCCCAAACGAAACCTTAATCATTCCTAATTTTGCTTGCCACCTTTTATATTTAGGAAATCATGTCAATGAAGCTTGCGGCTCAGGAAAAACTATCGAAGCTTATGGAATAACTAAACATTTTTGTTGTAATTTTTCTTTCTAGAATTCTGTGTCAAGGACATAATGCTTGGTTCTGCCTTATGGGTTGGTTTGATTTGCTTGTTATAACCATATGTTTAATTGCGAAACTTCTTAGTTCATTTAGATCATCTCCAACCAAGCTGCATACCATTGTATGCCGTCTGCGAATCGCAACATTCGAATTCCAATTCTCAGGCCAAAAATCGGTAGCCGAATAGTGCGACGTCACTATTGACGTTGGACTGTTCACCTACGCAAAAAAATGACTACCTTCGCACTTTGCTTAGCTTCACAGGAAGCGCGTGAAATAGGAGAGAGATGATTAACTTCGCAAAGAAGCACGCAAAAAAAGAAAATTGGAGTTCCATTGAAGATGAACTACCGGATTTTGAAGTTTTATGACATTTTAGAATAGAAAATGCGGTTTTCGGTTGGAGATGCCCTTAGAGAAATGGACATTGAATTTTTTCATAATAAATTCTATTTTTCCAAAGTGTACTTGTGAGTACCTGTACTGTAAAAGGTCATTTTAAGTTCTCCTGAATGTTACTTCTCGACTGATACCTAACTGTAACATACCAAAACGTCTCAAAAGCAACTAGCAATAGGAAAAGGCCTACAAACATGTTGAACATTCTGTGGCTATCAAATTCTTTGTACAGGATCTTCAATCTGACTGCACTTCACCCTTTCCAACTCTACTTCCAATTACAGATTTTGATTGGGAGATCTCACAGTTTAGAACATCATCAGAGCTAACATAGATGACCTTGAAAATGTCAAACTGAGCTTCATAGCTGAAGTTGCTGATGTACGGCCGGATAGTCCTGCGATAATTTGCAGTAATAAGCCATGTGTAGCAAGATTGCAAGGACTTCCAGACGTGGAGCATGGCCACCATGGGCCTATCACGGCACTGGAGGCACACACCAGCTGTGGATGCCTCGACATTATTGAAGCTCGAACGAAGAATTGCCATGCAAGCATAAGAAAGATCAGAGCTATCTTCAGAAGCAGGGACCATTCCACATAGTAAAATGGTGTCGCCTGTAGAGAACCGGGCATTTTGCTGGCCGTCTTTGGATTCTCCAGCGTAGACGCTGTAAAATCCGTGCTGTATGAGAACTGCAAGATGTGATAGGTCTTCTATGGCTGATAACTGTTCGAAGGAATGCATCAGTAAATGAAAGAAATGGATTTTTTGAACGAGGTGGTGTATTTTGAGCTCTGAACTTAGTAACTTACCAGTGTTTTATTCAGTATATGTCTGTTTTCCTCTGACCTTTTGATCCAAGCACCATACCAGACAATCTGATTTCAGAAGCGAGAAGTTTAAGAATACTTGTGCAGTGGAAGAATCAAGATTTAGGATTTGTTTGGGACGGCTTTCTTACTATTCCTAAAGCAGCTTTATAAAGCAGTAAGAAAGCCGTTCCAAACGAAGTCTTAAAAAGATTGAAAAGACTAAAAATTCGAGCGGCGAAAGTTTCATCATTGTGAACAATTATGATTACCAAGTTTCCATGAATGCTCTTCATCACTGAGCTGTAAACGCAGCCGAGATCCTCAGCTTGGAAGGAGAAACATTTCATGGAATGAATGATTTCGTCATCGAGAATACTAACCGACCGGAGCACGAAGAAAGTGAGGTCTAAGTTGTTCTTAAAGGGCACAAAGCAGGGCATGATTTCAGCTTTCTGTTCTCTTCTTCTTTTCCAATGATGATAAAGGTACTTCAGACTTTAGGAAAGAAGATGAATTGCAGAACCTTATAAGAGAAAACTAAAAGGAAGCAGCTGTACTGGTCCTTCAGAGAGAGCTTCGAAGTCATATTTGGCTGCGCTGACTTCCCGAAGCTAATCTTCACGTGTGACTTAATTCAAATGGAATGTTTGAAACTATGGGAGCCTCGTAGAATTTTGAGGTATGCGGACAAGTTTTACTTTTTGCAGGTTTAATTTGAATTTCTCTGAATGGGCTTTTTCAACTATTATTGTCGGACCTCCTGCTTAAGGTTGATCCGTTGATATCATGAATTCACTGGATATGACCGTTAGATCTACGTGCGCGCTGACGTCAAAGAGAGTGTTGTAAAAATGATTCAATCTAAAGCTTCCTTTGGAAGAACTTTCAAACTATTTTTTAGAAGCAGTTTTTTAGTGTAAAATTTTTCAGCTCCAAATAAAGTTTAAAATAGACTTGAAAAACACAGGTTCGAGTTTACCCTCATATTTTTTGAGTTGGATTTAAGATGAAAATCTTATCGATTAATTTTCGGTTTGAATTCAGATTGACTGGAAAAATGATAAACTTTTTAGGTTCTAATCTAAATTGGTCATTTTAAGGTTAAAAATGTTATGTTGATATAAAAAAATTGCATGATTTATATGATAAATTGGTAAATTATGGGTTAGATTTAGGTCAAATATTTTGACTCATATGATAATTGAGTCAGAATCAGGTAATCATATTCAATTCATATTAACTTTGGGTCTAACTCAAATCTGACTCACTAAGATTAAAACTTTAGTTTCTTTTGGGACTGCTTTCTCACTGCTTCATAAAGCAGCTTTTTAGTACACAAATTTTAAGAATCAGAAAGACAGTTGTCCGAAACAATGCCCTGTTTATATTAAATTTGTGTTTCCACGCTTTATTTATATATATATAATTGATTTATATAATTATTAAATTTTGCAATTAAATACTATATTAACTAAATGACTATCCTATGAAGATAAGATTAAAGCATAGTTTGGGATAGCTTTCTCATTGCTTTTTAAAATGTCTTTTTACTACAAAATATTCTAATTCAAAGAATTTTTTAAACTAAAATACTATTTTAGAAAGCATTAAGAATGTTGTCCCAAATGAACCCTAAGTCTTCATTAGGGATGGCTTTCTTACTGCTTCTTAAAGCGGCTTTTTAATGCAAAAATTTTAATTTTTATATTAAAAAGTTGCTTTAAGAAGTAATAAGAAAGTCGTCCTAAACAAAGCCTTAAATAATGTAGAAAGAAATGTTTGGGTGAAATTGCATGGTGTTTTGTTTGATGGAGGTTGTTCAAAGAGACTGAATAAAACAGTTTTGCATGGTGTTTTGTTTGATGGAGGTTGTTCAAATGAGTATTTATTATCCTTCTAACAAAAGTTTTCTTTGAGACAATTTTTTTACCACTTTCTAAATTAGTTTCTTTTTTGCATTTTTTGCACAAAAAAAATTTGAATTAGAAATTTTTATATTAAAAAGCTGATTTAAAAAATAGTATGAAAGCAAAGTATAATGATTATTTTTTTATTGTCGTGTTGCTTTGGGCTTATTTTAGTTTTGGGTTGGATTGTGTATGGTTTTATTAATTTGGATTTAGATTGGAAAAATATTGTGTTTGGGACTTTATAATTTGTATTTGATAAGGATGAGTTTTATGACAATTAAATTTATTTTAAGATGAGTAGTGTGTATGATTAATTAATTAAAATTTATACTACACTTATATTGAAATTACTATGTTGATGATATTGCTTATACAAAGCAAATTATTTCTAGTTAAGTACTCTATTTAGTTTTATATTTGTTGCATGCTATAATATTTATGAATGTTGAGCGAGAAATTAATGCTATAGTTTTATATGAAGATTATATGCGCAGAAATTAGAGTTTTTATGTGAAAATTTTAGAAAGGGAAAAAACATAGGATCTGACATAATTGAAATGATTCTGTTAGTGTATATTGTTGGTTACAAGTGATGTATTTTCGTATAATTGAGAAAGGTGTTCATATAATATAGTAGATATAAACTGTATATGATGGATTTAATGTTAAAAGTTATAAAATCATTGAGATATTAGGGTATTTCTAAGAGTTATTTATGATATATTTGATTGTTCGGAAAGAAAGTTATAAGAGCATTGAGATACTAAAGTTGTTTTTAAGAGATTATTTATGATATATTCTATCATTCTCAAATGAAGTTATAAGTGCATTGAGGTATTAGAGTTATTTTGAAGAGATTATTTATGGTATATTCAAAGAATATGAGACCAGAGACCAAGGATTTTAGAATAATCCTTATGTTGACTTGTGTTGGCATTATTGGCGTTAAAGTCGACAGGAAATAGTAGTCAAACAATGATGGTCAAAATGCTATAGCCAAGCAAAGGTAATTAATAGATCGTAATCAAGCAAGAGTAGTTGGGTGATGTTTATTAGACAATGCTGGTAGAGCGACTATTGTTATTGACAACAAACTTTGATGCCGATCATCATGCAGAGCTCTCACCAACTCGAAATTTAGGCTAATCTCCAAGTTTCTAAGCTCCATCCCTCTTCACATGGAGAATAGTTATACATTATTAAGTGACATTTTAGTAAATTTAGTCAAAATCACAAAATTCTCCATTAGATGATCCAAGTTGATCCCCTTGTTCATAGGTTATTCTTTCAGCATTTAAGTAATTGAATGTCCTTAGAACTGAGTGATATTGGACTCGCTAGAATAATCTTACCGAGGCAATCATTTTGATTATATGTACTTAAGATTTAAAATCATTTGGTCATTCAATTAATATTACAAAGTTTTAAATGTATTTTAAGTTGGATTGGATCACTTTTGACATTGATGAGTTTGTTTCAACAAGGCATTTAAAACAATTATTAGTTTGGTGAACATCAAGTTCGAATGTGTCACGTCCTAAAATTTAAATTTGAAAAAATTGTCTATTTTATATCTTAATTAATTATAAATCACTAATCTCATGAATTTAATAAAATCAGCACATGCAACTATAAATTATATACATCAAAATATTATATATTCATTCCTTAAAATTCACATACAATAATCAGGGACCCAATTTACAACATCACTCTATCAATTATCAATCCTGGTTACAAAAGAATAAAATCAAAGTACAAAGATTAAAACTAAATATGTAAGGCCTAATATGCCTCACTCAATTGGATTCTATATTCTTCCTGAAAATATATAACACCACGGAGCGAGCTAACAACTCATTATGTTATTAAAATATGTAGCTACAATTAATGCTCAAATGAAATAGTATGCATGTAATCATTTAATCCATATCAATATAAACATATAATTGTAAGAATATGTAGCAATCAATATAAGTAGTACCATTTCATATGAATAATGAAAATCAATACAAGCTATATAACTTATGATCAGTTATCATACAAAAGATTAGTGTATTTTGTTATTGCTATACTCATGTCAAGTACAACACAACAGGACTGTTACTTTATATATATATAGACACACACACACACACACACACACACACACACACACACACACACACACACACACACACACACACACACACACACATCTTCTAAGCCCTAATATTCACAACTCTTTGAGAGCAATGGAAGAGCGGAAAAAAGTGGATAAAGAAATAACTACTTGATGCTCAAAGCTCCTCGAAATGTGCTCTGCTAGAGTTTCTGGATGGTGCCGCTCCCTTTATCGTTGTGTCCCTCGCTTCTCAGGGAAGTTTCGTGCCCTAACTCTTGTGGTTTTGTTATTTTTTATTTGAATGGAGGGCAAACGTCTTGGGGGTCTTGGTTTTTTGGCGGGCAATCCCACATCTCGATCTTTTCGAGAGGCTTTATTGGGTTCTTCTCCTTGTTCGAGCTCTAATTTTCCTGACCTAAAAATTTCATCTTTTCGTGGGTTGCTGTCGCTTTGGATTTTCGATGAGGAAGTTCTGGCTCTTGCAGCTCCCATCGAGTTTGTGCTTGTTGGTAAATTTCCGTCTCATAGGCCTTCGCTTGAGGCTATTCACAATTTTTTCTTCAATCTCAAGCTCAACGATGAATTCTCGGTCACTGTTCTTAACCCTAAGCATGTTCTTATTAAGCTTGAGAATGATTTAGACTACTGCCGTATTTTTTCCCCTACTTTGCGAACAATTGTTTCATGAAACTTTTCAAGTGGTCTCCTATCTTTGATGTTGAAATTGAATCACCTATTATCCCTATTTGGGTTTCTTTTCCCAATCTGAGACCACATCTCTTTGGCCATGAGGATTCTCCATGGACTCGATTCCATGTTCAGTAAACCCCTTAAAATTGATCAGGCTACTTCCTCTGGTAGGCAGTCGTCGGTTGAGCGTGTGTTGGTGGAATTGGATGTGACCAAAGTTTATCATGAGAAGGATTGGGTTGGCTCCGAGGGCATGGGTTTTATCCAAACGGTTGATATGGAACATTTTCCATTCTATTTCTCTCACTGTAAATATTTGGGTCATTTGAAGCTTGAATGCCCTCTTTTTCATCCCTCGTTGCCTCATGTTTCGGCGGAGGTTGTTTCTCCTATCTTTGAGCCGACTGTTAAGGATATTTATTTGGCTCCAGTTGGTCTAGTTAGTGATTTACCTGTTTCTTTGCCCTTTATGGGTCCTGCTGTGTCGGATAATGGTATCGTTGGTTTAGCTTATGTTGTTTGTGATCCTGTTGAGCTTGTGTCTATTAGAGTTGATTTAGTTATTTTTGAGGTTGTGGTCCAGTCTTTAGCTCCGGTGGGTTTTGGGGCTCAAGGTGTTGAGGTTTCTCCTGTGACTCCTCTTTCTCATACTATTTTGGTCGATTCAAATGTTGTGTTGGTTTTTTGTACCCAGTATGCTAATGCCAATAATGTGGGTGTTTCTAACCCCGAACTCTCCATGTTGCCTGTTGTATTGGGGATTTGGTGGTT